TTCACCCTGTGCTATAAGTTCGGCTATTTTAGTCAAGCGTGACTGATGCGCGACCGACCTGCAAAATTGACAACACATCGAATCTGGAGAACAAAAATCCCATCGAGATTACTGAGAATACAAAAACCATTAGAATAATAGGCAGGGTTTCATATTACTGACGTTACTACGATGCTTCCACAAACTGAACAAGCCCCAGCGTGATCTTTGCCTCTCACTTCGAATAAGACCGCTCTGCGCGCGTAGGTTCAAATCCTGTCCGATGCACCTTCTCGCAGACGGAATCCCTTTTACGAACGGATATCAACCAGGAAGGGATCGAACCATTCGTCTTCACTCCAGACGCTAAGTGCAGACCGCTTTTTTGCTCCGCTCACGTGTTGGAGCACCCACTTTACTGGTAAGCTTTACCAGGTCCTTTGGTCCTGTTTTGCATGCCACAAATAAAGTTAATCTAAAAAAATGTAAAATTCGAAACCTGATGTGTATATCTAGTGTAGACCCTTGTCCATAACCCAGTTTGCATAGATTGCATTTGAACGGTTTTGAACCACACTGTTGTGATTGTGAGGTTGTTGAAGCCTGCAGTGCTGCTAGAATCTGAAAAAAAATATTGAAAAAATGACAAATCCATTTGCGTAAATCAGTTTCTACTTCTGTAACAAACAGATACTTCGTATTCTGCAAAACACAGTATAGTGATCTATCGTTATCACAATTACGGTGAGTTCAATCAATGCAATTCGATAATCACTGTGTCCGTGAAAATCTATGATTACTGTAGCTCTAATTCAGTGACCACATGAATACCCAGTAAAAAAAAATTACCATTTTTTCTCTATTCGTTATTCTAAAAACAGCCTAATTAAGCTAAAAGTGATGTAAAAATGAATTAACATCAAGCATCAAAGACCGGCTAGATCAAAGCTGACGCAGAAAACCCGTTTATATCTCAAATGCAAACTTGGTTTTAGAAGATAATTAGCTGGAAGACATTTGTAATCCCACACAGAAGATATAAATTCATCCTTGATATTCACATATTTCAGTAATTCAGAGCACCTCGGAAACTTACACCTCAACAACTCGTTTTAACGAATCATTGAATTTCAGTCAGGAAAAACAAGAATTTCTTACCTGGGCACTGGGCTGGAAATTATTCGATTGCTCTTCCAACATTTTCTTAGCCCTGTGAAGATGCGCCACCGAATTGTAATGCACCAGAAGCTGGTTCTTTTGTTCAAAATTTTCCTTGCATAATTCACATTTGAAAGGCCTAAAAATAAGGAAAAAATTAGCAGAAAGTAAAACCCCCAAACATTTTTGCAATTTTGGAAATAACTGAAAAAGTTTTTTTAAATAAGATTTTTCAGGCCCGGATACTGTAGCTCTGCAATTACGGTATGTCTAAAGTAGGCTCAAAAACGCATTAATGCTTATTTTGTTTTGTCATAAGTTAACCATGTCAAAAAGATAAAATTGCCTCCATATTCCCTCTTTCTGAAAGGTGAAGGAACTCAGGAAGTAGTAAGAGAGTGGTAACAAACGACAACACATGCTGGCAAAAATTTCGATGGAACTCCCTCTTTCGAGGGTTGCTTAGAAGCAAAGTGATGGCGGGGTTGTCTCCCTGTCATATGCCTGTTACGTAATTACAGGCACAAAACTTCATTGTTCAGTGTGGAAGATCTGGTTTGATTTGTTGCAAAAACATCAAGAAGTAAACTAAATTCCAGCAGAAT